TGATCTAACCAATCTCCATATTTAGCCTTGAAACTACTTTTGGAGAGAGATCCAAGATGGCTGATCACTAGCAGCTCGGGATTGTAGCTCCCAGTGAAAACGCAGAGAACGAGAGGACGCCACACCTTCACATGAATTCTTGCTGCTCACGCACCAGGAGATTCCCAGCGGAGGAGCCCCACGGGTCGCCAGCGCGACTCTTGTGACTGGCGAGGCGGTTTTGCCGGCGCCTTGGAGCGTCGGTTCTTGGTGCAGAGTCAGAACAGCACCATCAATCTTAACACCGCTGTTCAGTCGGCACAGTGGGTTGCTCAGATTTCGACGCTGACAATCAACAAGTTGGACGTCCACTCAGAAACCCAATTACAAAGACGGTAAATACAAAGACCACAGATGGATAAATTTATAATGAAGGGAAGAAAACAGCCAAAAAAGGCCGAGAATACCCAAGATCAGAACGCCTCTCCCTCAGCAGGGGATCCCAGTTCCTCATCAGCAACGGAACAAGGCTTGATGGAGAACGAGTGTGTTCCAATTACAGAAGCAGGCTTCAAAATGTGGATAATAAGAAACTTCTGTGAATTAAAAGAACTTGTTCTAACACAATCCAAAGAAACTAAGAACTTTGAAAAAAGGTTTGACGAAATGTTAACAAGAATACACAAGTTAGAGAGGAATATAAGTGAATTGATGGAGCTGAAAAACACAATACGAGAACTTCGTGAAGTATGCACAATTTTTAACAGCCGAATTGATCAAGCAGAAGGATATCAGAGGTCGAAGACCAACTCAGTGAAATAAAAAGAGAAGATAAGATCAGAGAAAAAAGGATAAAACGGAACGAGCAAAGTCTCCAAGAAATATGGGACTATGTGAAAAGACCTACTCTACGCTTGATAGGTGTACCTGAAAGTGAGGAAGAGAATGAATCCAAGCTGGAAAATACGCTTCAGGATATTATTCAGGAAAATTTTCCCAATCTAGTAAGGCAGGTTAATATTCAACTCCAGGTAATACAGAGAACACCACAAAGATATTCCTCAAGAAGAGCAACTCCAAGGCACATAATCGTCAGACTCACCAGGGTTGAAATGAAGGAGAAAATATTAAGGGCAGCTAGAGAGAAAGGTCAGGTTACCCACAAAGGGAAGCCTATCAGACTTACAGCAGATCTCTCAGCAGAAATCCTACAAGCCAGAAGAGAGCGGGGACCAATATTCAACATCCTTAAAGAAAAGAACTTTCAACCAAGAATTTCACATCCAGCCAAACTAAGCTTCATAAGTGAAGGAAAAATAAAGTTTTTTGTGAACAAGCAAGCACTCAGAGATTTCATCACCACCAGGCCTGCTTTACAAGAGCTTCTGAAAGAACCACTACACATAGAAAGGAACAAACAGTATCAGCCTTTCTAAAAAAATACCAAAAAGTAAAGAGTATCAATATAATGAAGAACTTACATCAACTAATGGGCAAAACAGCCAGCAAATATTAAATGGCAGTATTAAACTCACATATATCATTATTAATTCTAAATTTAAATGACTAAATCCCCCAATCCAAAAACAGATAGGCAATTTGGATAAAAAACTAAAACCCACTGGTATGCTGCATTCAGACCCATCTCACACGTAAGGATATACAAAGACTCAAAACAAAGGGATGGAGAAAGATTTGCCAACCAAACGGAGAGCAAAAATAAATAAATAAAAAGCAGAAGTTACAATTTTTGACTCTGATAAAATAGTCGTTAAAGTAACTAAGATCAAAAGAAGCAAAGAAAGACATTACATAATGATAAAAGAATCAACGCAACAAGAAGAAGAACTAAAGATCCTAAATATATACTCACCCAATACAGGAATACCCAGACATACAAGACTTATAAAGAGACTTAGACTCCCACACAATAACAGTGGGAGACTTCAACATTAATATTAGACAGATTAATGAGACAGAAAATTAACAACGATATCCAGGACTTGAACTCTGATCTGCAACAAGTAAACTTAATTAACATTTATAGAACTCTCCACTTTAAATACACAAAATATACTCTTATTAATACCACCTCATATCAACTTAGAAGTTTAAATGAAATGTTGGTTGGCTCCTCGTTTGTTATTCTCTTCCCTCATTTTCTTTCATGTCTCCATTATTAAGCATAATTATAGGCATACCCATATTTAGAATGCATTCTAGCCCGGGCAAATAAAGCAATACCCCCATTCTCTCTCCCTCTTCCTCCTTCTCTTTCTCTTCTTTATTCTTTTTCTTACTATTTTTTCTTTCTCTAAAAAAAAAAAAAAAAAGATTAAACCCTCTGGCATGTACCTCCTCTTCTTTTATCACAGACTGAGACTGCAGTAAGAAGGTAAACAATGTTGTTCTTGGCCAAGGAGCTTTTCATCACATGAATATACTATTCCATTGACTTTCTGAATCATTCTTGTCTTCCCAGAGCCTGGTAGGGCTGGTAGAATGAATGACCAAAGCGAGGTTAAATTTTTAGATTATGACAATGTCAGATGGAGAAGTGTGAAACTTTTAAAGAAAAAAAAAGTTTAATAGTTAGGTTTAGTTTTAACAGTTTAGCAATTTTTTAAAAATATACGTATAAAGGCCGGGCGCGGTGGCTCAAGCCTGTAATCCCAGCACTTTGGGAGGCCGAGGCGGGTGGATCACGAGGTCAAGAGATCGAGACCATCCTGATCAACATGGTGAAACCCCGTCTCTACTAAAAATACAAAAAATTAGCTGGGCATGGTGGCACGTGCCTGTAATCCCAGCTACTCAGGAGGCTGAGGCAGGAGAATTGCCTGAACCCAGGAGGTGGAGGTTGTGGTGAGCCGAGATCGCGCCATTGCACTCCAGCCTGTGTAACAAGAGCGAAACTCCGTCTCAAAAAAAAAAAAAAAAAAACGTATAAAAAAGTAGATAGGGTCTTGCTGTGTTGCTCAAGCTGGTCTTGAACTTCTGGGCTCAGGCACTCCTCCTGCCTCAGCCTCCCATCGTGTTGGGATTACAGGCATGAGCCACCATGCCTGGTCTAGTTTAGTAATTTTTTTTATTTTTTAGTTTAGTGATTTTATACAAAAAAAAAAAAAAAAAAACTACTTTTTTTTTGAGATGAAATTTTGCTCTTATTGCCCAGGCTTGAGTGCAATGGCGCAATCTCAGCTCACCACAACCTCTACCTCCCGAGTTCAAGCGATTCTCCTGCCTCAGCCTCCAGACCACATCCGGCTAATTTTGTATTTGTAGTAGAGACAGGGTTTCTCCCTGTTGGTCAGGATGGTCTCAAACTCCCAACCTCAAGTGATCCGCCTGCTTCAGCTTCCCAAAGTGGTGGGATTACAGACGTGAGCCACTGCACTTTGCCCTTCAAACTACGTTTAATTATTCCTGGGCTTAGGCCCAGCTAACTTTGGGAGACATTTACAGTTTAAATAACAGCCCTTCCCTAAAACTTAACTGCCTTTGTAAAGCTAATGAGTCCACCAAGCCCGGACAGAGGAGCCTGAATTCTGCTAAGGGGTAGACATAAATGACAACCAACCATTATTCTGGAGGTCATAAGATATGCGACTTGCCGAGTTATTCCTGCAGATAATATATCTCTACTGTAGAACCTAAGATTGGCCTTCTGAAATGTCTTTTCAGGTTTTGGCATGTCTGAGCAATGGCTCTACGTGAAACCAGAAAGAGCTCCTGTGGCCCCACCCACAGGTGACTCACTGAGCAGGAGGAACATTTCCCACAGCCCATGACTGCACCTCAACCAATCAGCAGCAAGCACCCACTGCCTAGTCACCCTCCCACCCCCAACTATCCTTGAAAAACTTTCGAATTTTGGGGGAAGCTGACTGAATAATAAACTCCAGTCTCCCCTTCAGCTGGCTCTACATGCGTAAAACTTTCCTGCAATCCCCGCCTTGATAAATCAGCTCTATCCGGGCAGTGGCAAAAAGAACCCAGTGGTCAGAGACAGGGTTTCACCACGTCAGCCAGGCTGGTCTCGACCTCAAGTCATTCACTCACCTCAGCTTCCCAAAGTGCTGGAATTACAGGCATGAGTCACCGCGCCCGGCCAGGGTTTGTCTTTATATAGATACGTTACTTGTAAAAATGAGTTGTAATGTCTTGAGTAATTGCTACAGCACATAGGTAAGCTGCTAAAGTGAATGTCTGCATAATTCAAAGATGAAAGATGGAGGAAGAAATGCAGGGTTGCCTTATGGATGAAAGCAAAAGAGAAGACGCAGGGAGCATCCGGCTGGATTGAGGTCGCAGTTCTGCCATATGGCTTCCCTCGCATCTTTTAGGCAATAGGTTTAATCGGCACCCTTATAGGCCAAGCATTATCCTGGGGCCTGGGGATGCAAGACTAATCAGTAAACAGACCCTGGAATATGCAGTCTGTAGAAAAACCCAAGTTCCTTGCTGCTGACTCTGGGCAGGCTCTTTGGCTTTCTGTAAAACAGGAACGACCACCCCTACCTTGGAAAGCTGCTACTGGGATGACGTGAAAGATATAATATTCGAGATCACAGCATGTGGCATTATGCAAAATCCAGGGTGCCCCCTTCCCCACAAGGCTCGCTCTCAAGTCACTTCACAGGTATTACATGCAAAAAAAAAAAAAAAAAAAAAACACAAAAAACAAAAAACCAGGTCTCTGTACCCTTGACCTAGGGAGGAACCAAGCTTGCTAAAAATCACAAAAGAGCATGCCACATGTAAAAGTCCAGTTAACAGAATTCGGGGGAGTTCAGAGGCCACCTAGTATGTTGGTGCGGCCAGGAGTGGGGCGAGTTGGGAGGCAGGGGCTGCTTCCCAGGGGTGATGCCCCCGCAGCTGGCTCCCTTCAGCCTTGTAGGAATTCCCTGGGTCCAGCGTCTGGCGGGGCGTCACTGGGAAGGACTCGGCCCCGAGGGGGGTTCCTTCTCCAGGGCTACTCCAGGGCCCCATCCCGCCCCGCCCGGGCAGCCCCCGCTGACCTTGAGCGAGGCCAGGTGGGCGATGTCGGGGCTGAGTTCTCGGAGGCAGTTGTCGGCGGCCGCCAGTTCGCTGAGCAGGGGCAGCGCGCCGGGGCGAAAGAGCTCGGCAGGGAAGGAGTCCAGGCAATTCCCCGTGAGGTTGAGGCTCTGCAGGCGCGGGGCGCACCGCGCCAGGTCGGCGGGCAGCTCGCGCAGCCGGTTGCCGCTGAGGTTGAGGCTCTGCAGCTGCGGGAGGCCCGGCGGCTCGGCGGGGCCCAGGCCGTGGCCCGGCGGCAGCGCCTCCAGCGCGTTGCCCGACAGGTCGAGCACCCGAAGGGCAGGCAGCGGCCCAAGCTCGGGGCTCAGGCCGGGCCCCAGCGCGTTGCGCCGGAGCACGAGGCTGTGCAGCTGAGGCAGGCCCTGGGCCAGGCCCGGCCCCGGCGCGCGCAGGCTCCCGCAGCCGCTCACTTCCAGGTAGTGCAGCAGCGGCAGAGTGAAGAGCCGCGGCGGCAGCTGCCCACCCGCCGCCCGCACTCGCTCCTCCAGCCCAGGCCCCGTCAGCAGCAGCTCCCGCCGCCGCTCCCGCTCAGCCAGCTCCAGCTCTGGCCAGGACTCGGACACCGCCGCCGCCGCCATGGCGCCTCCGCGGCTGGCAGGCACCCACCCGCCAGGGTGCTTCCGGGGCAGAGAGCGCAACTTCCGGTCTACGCCGGAAAAACCCATAGAGAAGACGCCTGGCTGCTAGAGTGCCACCGCGCGTGCCGTGGAGGAGAGGGGTCTCTCCTGCGTGGAGGTACTGGCAAGCGGCCGGGTGTCCTCGCGGGTGGGGGTGAGGGTGCGGGTTGTGAACCCAAAAGCATCTCAGACGGGACTCAAAGAAATGTAGAAAGTTTATTTTGCCAAGGCTAAGGACACGCCAGTGTCACTGCCCTAGGAGATCCTGACGACAGTGCTCAGGGAAGTTGGGGTGCAGCTTGGTTTTGTACATTTTAGCGGGGGCATGAGCTGTCAATCAACACGTGCACAGTGTACCAGAAAGACAGGACAGTTCCAGGAGACGGCTTCCAGGTCACAGGTAGAGAAGAGATCGAAGGTTGCATTCTTTGATCACAGTCTCTGATCAGCCTTTCACTGGATACACAATTTATCACCTGTGAGACGCGGGTAGAGGAATAGTTGCTTATGCTTTCGTCTGGCTCACTGAATCTGCATTTTTTTTTTTTTTTTGAGGCGGAGTTTCGCTCTTGTTACCCAGGCTGGAGTGCAATGGCGCGATCTCGGCTCACCGCAGCCTCCGCCTCCTGGGTTCAGGCAATTCTCCTGCCTCAGCCTCCTGAGTAGCTGGGATTGCAGGCACGCACCACCATGCCCAGCTAATTTTTTGTATTCTTAGTAGAGACGGGGTTTCACCATGTTGACCAGGATGGTCTCGATCTCTTGACCTCGTGATCCACCCGCCTCGGCCTCCCAAAGTGCTGGGATTACAGGCTTGAGCCACCGCGCCTGGCCTGAATCTGCATTTCTACATCAGCAGTAGAGCACAGGAAGCAGTCAGATACGCATCTGTCCAGGTGAGCAGAGGGATGACTTGGGAGTTCAGTCCTTCCCGTCCCGCACCTGTGAAGGGAAGCTGTCGGTTTGCATTGCCAGGGTGAAATTCAGCAGAACTGTTTTCAGTAAAGATCTTGAGGCCCAACAGGGAATTTCCTTGTGGGCAAATAGTGAGGGAGGTGTGTAGCTTTAAAAACATTTATCTGTACCTATCTTATTTAGGAGTAAGATGGGAGGCCGGTTTGCCTGAAGCAGTTCCCAGCTTGACTTTGTCCTTTGACTTAGTGATTGTGGGGTTTTGAGATTCATTTTCCTTTCCTAGGGTGGGGTGTGGGGGTGTACAGAGGAGCCAGAGTCTGTGCTCCACTGTGCCCCAGCCAGCTTAATTTCTTCACTTCTGAGTGAAGTGTGATACAAACCAAAACCAACATCCCCCTTTTTTTTTTCTTGAGACAGTCTCACTCCGCCGCCCAAGCTGCAGTGCAGTGATGCCATCTCGGCTCACTGCAACCTCCACCTCCTGGGTTCAAGCAATTCTGCCTCAGTCTCTCACTGGGACTATAGGTGCATGCCACCATGTCCAGCTAATTTTTGTATTTTTAGTAGAGACAGGGTTTCACCATGTGGGCCAGGCTGGTCTCAAACACCTGACCTCAGGTGATTTGCCTGCTACGGCCTACCAAAGTGCTGGGATTATAGGCATGAGCCATTGCACTTGGCCCCAAAATTTTTATTTATATATTTATTGAGACAGGGTCTTGTTCTGTTACCCAGGCTGGAGTGCGGTGGTGCCAACTCTGCTCACCTCAGTCTCAACTTCCCTGGCTCCAGTGATCCTGCCACCTCAGCCTCCCAAGTAGCTGGTACCACAGGCATGCACCACCATGCCTGGCTAAGTTTTGCATTTTTTGTAAAGCTGGGGTTTTGCCATGTTGCCCAGGCTGGTCTCAAACCCCTGAGCTCAAGTAATCCACCTGCCTCAGACTCCCAAATTGCTAGGCTTACAGATATGAGTCACCACACCTGGCCAAAAAATAAAATTCTAAGCCCCAAAACCATCTGAATGGACCCCTCCTCTGGGCCAAAGGCATTCCCTAGTTAACCGGAAAAACTACTTCAGGGGCCAGGTGCGGTGGCTCATGCCTGTAATCCCAACACTTTGGGAGGCCGAGGCAGGAGGATCATGAGACCAGCCTGGCCAACATGATGAAACCCCATCTCTACTAAAGATAGAAAAAGTTAGCTGGGTGTGGAGGTGGACGCCTATAATCCCAGCTACTCCGGAGGCTGAAGCAGGAGAATCACTTGAATCCGGGAGGTGAAACTGCAGTGAGTCAACATCATGCCATTGCACTCCAGCCTGGGCGACAGGGCAAGACTCCATCTCAAAAACAGAAACAAAAAAACTAGTTTAGGTCATGGTGGGAAAGGTCAGACGTGGCGGGTGGGGTTGGACATGCCTCATTCTACCGTCCTCCACTGGAAATTCAGGCCCACTTGACCATCATGAACATCAACACAGATCTTAAGACTGACAAAGCCAGGCCGGGTGAGGTGGTTCTCGCCTGTCATCCCAACACTTTGGGAGGCCAAGGTAGGCAGATCACCTGAGGTCAGGAGTTCAAGACCAGTGTGGCCAACATGGTGAAACCCCGACTCTACTGAAAATACAAAAAGTAACCAGGCATGGTGGCGGGCGCCTGTAATCCAAGCTACTTGGGAGGCTGAGGCAGGAAAATTGCTTAAACCCAAGAGGCGGAGGTTGCAGTGAGCCGAGATTGTGTCACTATACTGCAGCCTGGGTGACAGAGCAAGGCTCCATCTCCAAAAAAAAAACGGACAAAGCTGACTCTTCGTAGCAATGACACCAAATTCCAGCTGCCTCTAGTAGAGCATTACATGACAGATAAAGACCCTGAATGAAACTGAAGTATTTTACCCCAAATTATATTTCTTTGCCATATCTTAAAATAGTTCTGCAAGGCTATTGTGGGAGAAATCTGCATTCTGAAGACAGTCTCCTTGCTTTGCTGGGCCTTTTTCCTGATCCAGGAGAGAATCAACTCTGATCAAAAGACATTTACAGGCCAGGTGCAGTAGCTGACTCCTGTAATACCAGCACTTTGGGAGGCTGAAGCAGGCAGATCACCTTAGGTCAGGAGTTTAAGAACAGCCCTGGCCAACATGGTGAAGCCCCATCCCTACTAAAAATACAAAAATTAGCTAGGCTTGGTGGCAGGTGCCTATAATCCCAGCTACTTGGAGGCTGAGGCAGGAGAATCACTTCAACCCAGGAGGCAGAGGTTGCAGTGAGCTGAGATTGCACCATTGCACTCCAGCCTGGGCCACAGAGGGAGTTTCCATTTGAAAGAGAGAGAGAGAGGGAGAGAGAGAGAGAGAGAGAGAGAGAGAGAGAAAGAGAGAGAGAGAGAGAAATTCGGGGATCTAATTTTGAAGCAAACCAGGCACAGAGACCCAGCTCTGGATGCTGCTGCTCTGTGGGAGTTAGGAACAGTGAGCCCATCACTACCAGCCCAAGTCAGGATGGCACAAACTGGACCTTCAGACAGGCCTTTACTTGAGATAAGCTTTGGAACAAGACACGTGGCCCTGCACCCTCCTGTACCACTCCCACTTGTTTCCCACACCAAGTTTTCCTTCCGAAGTCCCTCACTCAGCCACAAAGACAGAGGGTCTCTCGGAGCCATGAGCCCAGCCATGTCCCATCTGCTGGTGTAGAAAGTAAAAAGTTCCTCTTCAAAGTTTCCCTTCTTGTTAAAGAATGTTAGACATAAGGAAATAAGTACATTCTATGTCCTTGTACTTTAACCAAGATATCGGTGCTGGACGTGCTCACAGGCATGTTCCAGCTCACAGCCTATGCCCCTTCCTTTTTGGACTTCCTCTATCCTTTGTGCTCCATTGCCTTTACCTACTTAGAAAAGTTTAAAGTTGTTAGCCAATTGGGTTTTAGTTTAGATTGTGAGATCTGGCTCCAACCAACAGAGATCTGACACAGCAGTAAGAACCCAATGCTTAAGGAATACATGTGCTTGCCTTTTCCTTGTTCATTGTACTCTTGTGACAAGATGGCTAAGAGGAGTACCCTTTCTGCAGAAAGTGAAATTGCTTTACTGAGAGAACTTTTTGTCTGAATACTAATTTTTCCTTGCGGTACTTAGGAACAAGCATTCTGTCTCTAACAGCTGGCATTTGTTTAATAAACTGCTTTCCTTCTACCACACCTCCCTTCTCATGTTTTTGGTCTTTGAGTAGCCAGGCTTGAGCTGGTTACAAATTGGGTGCCTTGCGTGAGGCACTGTGTTGTGAGTGGCTCAGCCTGTGCACCTGCTTTCCAGTGAATGCAGAAATTGGCCACAGGAGTCCCAGGGCTTACCCACTCTTGCTACCAGGCAGGACAGCAGCCACTTGCAAATGCCAATGCCAGCTGCTCATGGCCAACTGACCCCAGAACTAGGACCTTAGTGGCCAACTGACCCCAGGACTAGGACCTTAGAGAATCCTAGTAGCTGCTGAGACTGCCTTTGTCTTGGGGAGTTTTTCTCCTTCCCGCTTCATGATATCAGCAGCTCTCATGCTCTGCTGATGGGAGGGAAGCAGCATATGGGATGTCAACTGAAGTGCACCCAGAAATCCACTGTGTCTGTCCTCTGGGGCTTTAGCTGTCTAGAGCTAGTATTGGTACTCTGCGGTGCTGCCTGGATCTCTGTGTCATTTGGACCTAATGCAGGTCACTCTGTGGTGCTGTGTGGCTTTGGGACAGGACCTCAGGACTTTGCTGCAGTCTACCCTCTGGAGAGATCTGTTTGTGCTTGTGTCTCTGTTTAGTGTTGCACCTTCTTCCAAGGGTGCTTAGCAACAGTCTCCATCCCAACGGCCAAGACCAGGTCCATATGATTGTCAGAAAGCAGCCAGATAGGTTGCTTCTCTCCTCACTAGGTGTGTTATCCCATTTTCACTCTGCTCATAAAGACATACTCAAGACTGGGAAGAAAAAGAGGTTTAATTGGACTTACAGTTCCACATGGCTGGTGAGACCTCATCAGAATCATGGCAGGAGGTGAAAGGTACGTCTTACAAGGTGGTGGCAAGACAAAATGAAGA